AAAAAAAAAAAGAAGTGAATGTATTTTCTTTGACAAACCATTTTTGCAGCCAGTAGTCTTTTAAGAGCTAGACAGAAGTTACTAGAACTGGAAGATTCCTTAAGGCTCGCCGGCTCATAAGGAAACTGTGGCCCTAGTGTTGAAGGGGATCAGTTTAAACAAGGAGTCATTGGCCAAGAGGAAACCCGAGTTTCCTGGGGACTTCCACGATGGTACTAGCCACAACCTCTTGTTTTTACACACTTTTTCCAGCTAAGGACTTTTTCTTTTTATAGAACTCTCCTTCAGAATTTCTTTTAAATCAGGGACATGTTAATATGGCTAATTTTGTCTACACCATAGAAATAACAGAGGCACGGTGGCTCACACCTGTAATCCCAGAACTTCGGGAGGCTGAGGCAAAAGGATTGCTCAAACACAAGACCAGTCTAGGCAACACAGTAAGACCTCATCTCTACAATAAATAAATAACTCAAGCATGGTGGCACATGCCAAGATGGGAGGATTGCTTAAGCTCAGGAATTTGGAGACCAGTGTAGGCAACATAGCAAGACGTCATCTCAACAATAAGGAAATAAGTTGAGCATGGTGGTGTACAGTCTAGGCAACATAGCAAGACCTTGTCCCTGCAATCAATCAATCAGTAAGTTGAACATGGTGGCAAACACCTGTATTCCCAGCTACTCAGGAAACTGAGGAGAAGAATTGTCTGAACCCTAGAGATTGAGGTCAAGGCTGCAGTGAGCCATGATTGTGCCACTGCATTCTAGCCTGGGGGACAGAGTCTCAAAAAAAAAAAAAAAAAAAAAAGCCAGGTGCAGTGGCTCAGCCTGTAATCCCAGCACTTTGGAGGACCAAGGCAAGAAGATTGCCTGAGCCTGGGGGTTTGAAACCCAGCCTGGGCGACTTGGTGAGACCTCATCTCTACAATAAATCAAAAAACTAGCCAGGCATGGTGGTATGCATCAGTAGTTCCAGCTACTTGGAAGGCTGAGGTGGGAGGATCACCTAAGCCCAGTGGGTCGAGGCTGTGGTGGCTGTGACCATGCCACTGCACTCCAGCCTGGGTGATAAGAGTGAGACCCCAACTCAAAAAAAAGGAAATAATAGGCCGGGTTCGGTGGCTCAGCCTGTAATCCCGTGCCTTGGGAGGCGAGGTGAGTGGATTGCCTGAGCCAGTGGGTTCGAGACCCATCTGAGCAAGTTGGCAAGACCTCATCTCTACAATAAATTTTAAAAAATTAGCCAGGCGTGGTAGCGTGCGCCTGTAATTCCAGCTACTTGGAAGGCTGAGGCAGAAGGATCGCCGGAGCCCAGCAGGTCGAGGCTGCGGTGGCCGGGAGCGGCCACTGTACTCTAGTCTGGGTGACAGAGTGAGACTCCAACTCAAAAAAAAAAAAAAGAAATAATAGAGTGATTCCAGTTGTCATGCTTATGTTGAATGGGAATGCTGATGCACTGGCCAACAGAAGAGTCTTTCCCCTTCACCACCACATTAAAAAGTAAAAACATCAAAAAAAGAAACAAAGAAAAAAACCAGCCAGATGTCAAAGATATCTCCAGAAGTAGTCAGCAGGGGACAAGAAAGTGGTATTTTTTAAAAATGGCTGTATCTTTGATGATTAAAAAAGGATATTTACAGCCGGGCTTGGTGGCTCAACCTGTAATCCCGCGCCTTTAGGAGGCCGCAGTGAGGGGATTGCCTGAGCCCATGGGTTTGAGAACAACCTGGGCAACTTGGCAAGATCTCATCTCTACAGTAAATCAAAAAATTAGCCTGGTGTGGTAGCGCGAGCCTGTAGTTCCGGCTACTTGCAAGGCTGAGGTGGAAAGATTGCTTGAACCCAGCAGGTCGACACTGGGGTGGCCGTGAGCATGTCACTGCACTCCTGGGAAACAGAGTGAGACTCCAAGTCCAATGAAAAATTAAAAAGTTCAGATGTGGGAAACTACTTGGCATGTTTGGGGAACAGTGAGTAAACTCGTCTGGATGAGCCTGACAGGTGGAAACAGAAGACAGTTAAAGGCAAATCTGGAGACAAATGCTGGGGTCCTGAAAGCAATCTGTGCTAAGGAGCCTTATCAGTAATAGGGAACCATGGACTGTTTCAGAAAAGGGAATAATTTGATCAACTGCTGCTCAGGAGGTTAATTTGGCCCCCCTGTGCAGAGTGGTGTCCCAGAGGCTGTGGGCAGAGACATTCAGGAGTGGCATTATGAAAGTCTGGGCAGGGCAGAGGTGTGGAGTTGAGCAGGGAGCATTGATGGGAAAGTGGTTCCCACTAGCGAAGAGACTAATTGGTGACTGAATGGAGATGGGGGCTGGGAAAGAGGCAGGGGAGAGGATGAGGTCACAAATCTGTGAAATTGCCATAGCTATTAGTTTGAGGGCTCTGGGGGAGCTCAGGTGATTGTCAGGAAACAGAAGATGATATGGAATAATCCAGGAAGTAGAAGTGTGCACAGGAGAGCAATGGGACCATGGATGGAGAGGGAAGGACTGGACCAAGCCTTAGAGAATGGCTATGTGTAGACATAGAGGGTTGGGTCAGAGAGATTGGAGGGAGTTCAGTTAGAGGAGGTCATAGAAGTCAAGGAGAGTTTCAGAAGGAAGACGTGGTTGGCAGAAAGGTGAAGAGAGAGCTGAGCAGATGCTGTTGGTCATCAACATCCCTGGCACCCCTGAGGAGAGCGGTGTCAGTGAATGCCAGGAATGGAAATCAGTCTGCTCTGGGTTGAAGAGTAAGAAGTGTCATGGGTGTTTGTTGATTTTTGCATGGCTACATCCAGTTCCCCTTCTGATACGAGCACCCCAGTATTCCCTTGGGGATCCAGTCTTCCCCACTTTCAGTTTTGTGGTTAGAGTGAGCTAAACAACCAACACTCCTTCACCGCCCCCCCGTGACCCAGGCCTGGCCAATTAGAACATCCCATTCCCTGGCCAAATGACTGATTTGGGAATGGTAAGTCAAGCCAAGCTCATGAGACTCAATTCCAGGACTGTTGCTAGAATCTTTAGGAAAGAAGTACTCTTACTGCTAGGACTGACAAGCAGGTAAAATGCAAACTTGGAACTTCTGGTGGACATCTTGCCACAAGAGGAGAGAGTCAGTCTGAGGATGAAGTCAATGTAGAGGAAAGCAGAGAATGAGAAAGACAACTTCCTGTCAGCATTACTGAGGACATGGAGTCAGCCATGCTTGAAGTGAAAGATCTATTTCTGTACTTTATGGTTCTGTGAACAAATACATTCCGTTTTTCCTCTTAAGACAATTTTGAATTGTGTTTCTGTCACAACTGAAATAATTCTGTCTCATATAGAATGAGAGGTGAGGGTAAATGCAGAAAGTTTGCAATGAGGAAAGCAGGGAGAGCTGTGACTAGTGAGGGCTCTGAAGTTGGGGAGATGTTTAGAGAGGAGAAAGTTGAATACATTTGTATGCTGAGTATAGGGAGAGGCTGAAGTTACCGAAGAACAGATGGTGGACAGGATGGCCTGGGGAGGGAGGATTTTAAAGGCAGAAGAAGTGAGGACTCTTCTGAGGGACTCGATTACTGAGGAAAGTAAGAACCAGTAGAAGAAAGAGGACAGGTTTAGAACTTCCAAAGGGAGCTGGGCGCAGTGGCTCAATCCTGAAATCCCAGCACTTTGGGAGGCTGAGATGAAAGGATTGTCTGAGCCCACAGGTTTGAGACCAGCTTGGGCAACTTGGTGAGACCTCATCTCTACAATTAAAAAAAAAAAAAATCAGCCAGGCATGGTAGCTCAGGCCTGAGGCGGAAGGATCACCTGAGCCCAGCAAGTCAAAGCTGCGGTAGCCAGGAGCATGCCACTGCACTCCAGCCTGGGCAACAAGAGACTCAAAAAAAAAAAAAAAAACTGCCAAGGGGAAGCTACATAGGTAATGGTCAAGAAGGAACACTGTATTAGTCAGTGTTCTCCAGAGAAACAACCAATAGGATATATATAAATATGCATATGTATTAGTCTGCTTGGGAACAAAATATAGACTGG